CTGCAGATACTGTAAATCAGGAACAAAAACAAAGTTGCTGGAAAAGCTCAGCAGGTCTGGCAGCATCTGTAAAAGAAAAAACAGAGTTAATGTTTCGGGTCCAGTGACCCTTCCGCAGAACTGATACTGATGTACCTTGCTTCTATTTGCTAGTTTCTGAAACAGGTTGACCCTTGTCCTCATCTTGAAGGAAATCTTCAGGTAGTTGTGTAAGGATAGTGCGTGATCCAGATTCACTGCTTAATAGGTCAGTGTGGCATCATGGTCTGCAGTATTATTGGAGAAATCCACTTTTAGACTATGCTTCATATTCCTATTGCCAAGAGGGAATGAAGGAGAGTAACACTGGACTGAAAACGGTAACTCTGTTTTTCTCTCCACAGATGCTGCCAGACCTGCTGAGCTTCTCCAGTAATTTCTCTTTTAAATTTATGAAGTAACAACTTGCATACCACAGCCACTTACCTTTCTAGCTGCTTCTTCAATAACAGACCACTTCTCTCCTGTGTTAGTTTTAAAACTCTTACTGAGTATGTGCATTTCTGGCAAAGCCAGCTTTAATAAAATTGAGATGCCTTCTTGAACTGTTGTCATTCAACTCAATCTACCTTAATAAATCTCTTTTGATTTTACTTTCTTAATCCACAGTTGATCATAGAAATGGATTCTAGTCATGCTTTTAGTCTTGGGTCTTGGATCTGACTGCCTATTGGTCAATGAAAAAGCACATCGAAGCTCCCAGAGACTGCTTTCCTTGTTTTTTCCCCAATGGTCAACATCCCATTTGGTTGTGCTGGACCATCTGGAGAGCTCTTTCTCCAGATACCTCCAAATTCATAATCTTATGAACAATGGCACTGATGCATTTTGTAGATATGGCACTGTACGTAATACTGGACTTCACTGCCCAGCCTGCGATCTGTCCTAGTTCCTTTTGAATTGTTTTTCACTGTCTTTATGTAAGTGTGATCCTTATCCAGCATTGATTTCAGAATGAGTCCGTGGGATGAAAAGGCTGGAGAGATTCATTACTTACTCCTGATCCAATGTTGCTAAGTTCTATATATCATAATCACTAAGCCTGGATCATACAGTCTAACTTCAAGGAAATCTCTGCTCCCCATTATTAAATTTCAATTTGACCTCTGAATCCTCTGGCACCTTGCACAAACAAGCATCTGATAATAATTGTTGTTCCTAACTCTTTTCTTGTATGAAACCACATAGCACTAAAATCTGTTGGAGTTCTGCAGAATTCCTACTGCAATTCTGGTGAGAGACCCGAAAAATCTGTGTATAGCTGAAAACAGTCATGTTTCCACGTTTTTGTGCATTCTTCTGGAGGCAACAAGCCAGTAGAAACACCAAAATTTCAAGACCACAATCTTTGACTCCCTGTCAGGACATATTTGTGATCAGACACTACCTTAGACATTAAAAATACGTCTGATGTTTAGTTAATAGCATCCTCTTCACTATGAGATTAAATATAAACTTTAGAGGCTATTTTTAATGATTATATAGTAATTTTCAAGCTAAGAAATTATCTCGATTAGTTTGTCATCATAGTAATCACGGCATAAAAACTGAATAATACACATGCCAAAGAAACAATCCAAACCAATTCCAGGTTAGATATTAGCAATAGGTCAATAGAGTCATTTTCACCGTTGAGTTGGAAAATTCAAATCCAGGCTGCAGACACTTGAGCACTTAGTTCAGGCTGTCAACTTAAGTGTTCAACAGCACAGGTTCAATTTAGGGGCAGCACGGTGGCTCAGTTGTTAGCACTGCTGCCTAACAGCGCCAGGAGCCTGGGCTCGATTCCACCCTCGGGCGACTGTCTGAGTGGAGTTTGCACACTCTCCCAGTGTCTGTGTGGGTTTCCTCTGGGTGCTCCGGTTTCCTTCCACAGTCCAAAGATGTGCAGGCTAGGTGGATTGGCCATGCCCATAGTGTTCAGGGATGAGTAGATTAGATGGATTATAGGGTGGGAAGCTCCGAGGGTTGGTGTGGATTTGTTCGGCCGAAGGGCCTGGTTCCACACTGTGGGGATTCTATGATCCATCTTGGCATCCTCCTAAAGTCACCAGCATCACAGATGCCAGTCTTCAACCAGTTCATTCAATAGTATTGAAGACTTGTGCTCCAGAACAAGCTGCACTCCTAGGCATGCTATTCCAGTACGTCTACAACACTGACATCATTCTAACAATGTGGAAATTGCCCAGAAAAAGCAGGATAAATCCAACCTTGACAATTATCATCCCATCAGTCTACTCTCAATTATCAGTAAACATTGGGAAGGGGTCATTGACAATGCTATCAAATGACAGCCTGCAAATAAATAATCTGGAGGGTTTGAGCTATAAGGAGAGGCTGGGACTTTTTTCATTGGCGTGTGGGAAGTTGAGATGTGACCTTACAGAGAGTTATAAATTAATGAGGAGCATAATGTGAATAGCAAAGGTCTTTTCCTTAGGGTAGGGAAATTCAAAACTAGAGGGCACAATTTTAAGATAAGAGGAGAAAGGGACCTGAGGTGCAATTTCTTCATGACAGAGGGTGGTTTGGATGTGGAATGAACTGCCAGAGGAAGTGATAAATGTAGGTACAGTTACAACATTTAAAAGACATGTGGACAAGAATGGGAAAGAATGGGCCAAACGCAGGCAAATGGGACTAGTTTAGTTTGGGAAACTTGGTCAGCATGGATGAGTTGGGCCAAAGGGTCTGTTTCTGCGCTGTTTGACTCTATGATGCTCATTTCAGGTTCTGGCTGGGCCTTTCAGTTCCTGACATCATTGTAGCTTCAGTTGAAACATGGACAAAAGACATCACCCTTCTAAAATTGAATGAGGTGAGATCTAGACTTGAAGTACAGAAACTTGCAAAAAGGTAGTGAAAGGGTGAGAATTCTAGCTTCTGAGAGAAACAGCAACTTCCTTGCTTTGTGGAATACTTGATTTCTCTCAAATTGAATATGCCACCAATTGGACAACTTTTGAACTGTATGAAGAACTTGGCTAAGAACAACCAAATAAAACAGCTTTGAGAACACCTCCAGAGTTGACTAAGGGCGAACAAAGAGAAAAAGATATACACGCAGAACAACAAGTGCTAACCTGAAAGCATGAAAGTACCAAAACTACAGAACTACTGAAGAAGGAGGAGCTGTGCTCTCCTGTGCAAGAAAACACCAATTATCCAACTACACTAGACATGATAACTGCTGGATCCAACTTCAACTCTGGACCCAAATAAACTGCAACATCAAGGGACTCTTGCACTGACCCCAATGGTTTGCCATAGAAACTTACTGGGACTTCTTTCATCTCATCAGTATTTGCTTCAATGATATCGATAATTTCATTTTAATAATTTTGCTTTAATTGTTAAGGAACTTTCAAGAATAACTTGTAACAAAATATTTTTAAACTGTCTTAAACTTGACTGGCAATTTGTCTTAACTTCAACAATACAAATTAAAAGGGGTCTACATAAGCTCTGACATTGGATACTGACCATGTGGTGGTGATATCCAGTGACTGTGCCACTTTCAGAAAGTAGCTATTTCTCAATCAAAGAAAAAGACTCATGGTGCCTTCCCACTGTCTCAAGATGTTGCCTAAAGTACTTTACAACAATGAAATATGTTTATTGAGGTGCAGGAATCATTGACAGCCAATTAACGTTATAGAGCACTTATCAAACTGGCTCACCTTACATTTTTATGTGAACTTCCACCATATCAACTATGAACTTATTTTCACATTTTCTCAATTGTTTACCCTGTTCTAATGCTCTTGTGTTAAACTGCCTAAATACTTGCTGCCATACTTTCATGGTGGTCCATACTCTGCTGGCCCATAAACGTCCTTTCACAATTCAACTGAGGTCTGCTTTTCAAACGAAACTTTGAACAACACATACTGTTATTTCCAAGCACAATAATATGTGCTTTATTATTGTTGTACAAAGAACAAAGAAAATTACAGCACAGGAACAGGCCCTTCGGCCCTCCAAGCCTGCGCCAATCCAGATCCTCTATCTAAACCTGTCGCCTATTTTCCAAGGATCTGTATCCCTCTGCTCCCTGCCCATTCATGTATCTGTCTAGATACATCTTAAATAATGCTATCGTGCCCGCCTCTACCACCTCCACTGGCAATGCGTTCCAGGCACCCACCACCCTCTGCGTAAAAAACTTTCCACACATATCTCCATTCAACTTTTCCCCTCTCACCTTGAAATCATGACCCCGAGTAATTGAGTCCCCCACTCTGGGAAAAAGCTTCTTGCTATCCACCCTGTCTATACCTCTCATGATTTTGTAGACCTCAATCAGGTCCCCCCTCAACTTCCGTCTTTTTAATGTAAATAATCCTAATCTACTCAACCTCCCTACATAGCTAGCGCCATCCATACCAGGCAACCTCCTGGTGAACCTCCTCTGCACCCTTTCCAAAGCATCCACATCCTTTTGGTAATGTGGCGACTAGAACTGTACACAGTATTCCAAATGTGGTCAAACCAAAGTCCTATACAATTGTAACATGACCTGCCACTCTTGTACTCAATACCCCATCCGATGAATGAAAGCATGCCGTATACCTTCTTGACCACTCTATCCACCTGCGTTGCCACCTTCAGGGTACAATGGACCTGAACACCCAGATCTCTCTGTGCATCAATTTTCCCCAAGGCTTTTCCATTTACCGTATAGTTCGCTCTTGAATTGGATCTTCCAAAATGCATCACCTCGCATTTGCCTGGATTGAACTCCATCTGCCATTTTTCCGCCCAACTCTCCAATCTGTCTATAGTCTGCTGCATTCTCCGACAGTCCCCTTCACTATCTGCTACTCCACCAATCTTAGTGTCATCTGCAAACTTGCTAATCAGACCATCTAAACCTTCCTCCAGATCATTGTGAAAAAGATTCTTTCCTAATGGATCAGTAGAAAATTTCTTCCAAACAAAGCTCATCAACTATCAAAGAATCTTTGAATCAAGATTTATTGAATTAAATTCTGTTCAGATTCAGTTCAAGATTCACTTTGTAAGTTTATACGATAAAAATTAAATATAGTCAGTGATTCAAAAGACATATACAAAACTTTCTTTCAGGAAAGAAACTAGTTCATGATTTGTGGGATCTTTCAAGCATTTTCAGACCAAGTCTTCCAAGCATCAGGAAGCTGTGGGAGGAACAAACAAGAATTATTACTGATTAGGAAAATATGCAAAACTTATTGAAACATGCAATTCAACAAATCTAAAGACATTACAGGGAGATGAGCACCAGCATACAAACATAAATAACAGGGATAAAGTACAGGGATAGTGTACATGAAGTGAGAGGGTCAGACAGTACTGGAGAAGCGAGTAGTGCAATGTTAGGTATAAGCAGCTTAAGAAAGGCTACAAAGAAAAATTAGAGTCCAGATTTGTAAAGGCACTATGACAAATAAAGTTATTGAGGGATAAACTCAATATTGTACAGCAGAAATATGATGGAGTGGCAAGAAAGAAAATGTGTCTTAAAAGTGGTGAGGACCGGCTGTTTGATATAAAGAATATAAAGGATTCAGAAAAAATAGAGAAAGGAAAAATGGAAGTGGAGTAATAGTACTGATTGGTGAAGACAGTATGATTATCAGAAGTGATAATATCCTAGACGGAGTAAGGACAGAATCCATTTGTCTACACTTGAGAAAAAAAAGGCTACGATCATTTTTTTTTAAACTCCATTCATGGGATATGGGTATCAGCTGCTTGGCCAGCATTTATTGCCCATCCCAAATGCACTTGAGAAGATGGTGTTGAGCTACCTTCTTGAACAGCTGCAGTCCAATTCATGTAGATACACTCACAAGGCTGTTGGGGAGGGAGCTTCAGCATTTTGACCCAGCAATACTTAAGGGACAGCAAAATAGTTCCATGTCAGGATGGGTGGCCTGGAGGGGAACGTGCGGGTGACAGAGTTCCATTTTTCTACTGCCTTTGTCATTTTAGATGGTTGTGGTCATGGGGTTGGAAGAAGAAATCTAAGGAGCTTTGGTATATTTCTGCAGGGCATCCTGTAGATGATACATATTAATGCTACTGAGCAGCAGTTGAGGAGGAAGTGAATATTTGTAGATGTAGTGCCAATCAAGTGCTTTGTCCCGTATGATAGAACATAGTACAGTACAGCACAGCACAGGAATGGGCCCTTTGGCCCAAGGTGTTGCACCAAACAAACAGCAGAGGTCCCTGTGGAAAACTACTAGTCGTGCACCTCCAGCCAGAAAAACACCCTTCCACCACCACCTTCTACCTTCTATGGGAAAGACAGTTCTGAATCCAAGCAGCTAAGTCACTGTGGATCCCATGTATTTTAATTTCCTGGATGAGCCTACCATGAAAGACCTTGTCAAAAGCCTTAACGAAATCCATTAGACAACATTCACTGCTCTACCCTCATCGACCACCTTTGTCACCTCCTCAAAAAATTCAATCAAGTTAGAAAGACATGACCTGCCCCGCACAAAGCCATACTGATTGTCCCTAATTAGGCCGTGCTTTCCCAAAGGCTTGTAAATCCAAACCCTAATAATTCTCTCCAGTAGCTTCCCAACCACCGATCTGAGACTCACTGGTCTATAGTTTCCTGGATTAACTCGATTTCCCTTCTTGAACAGAGGAACATTAGCTACTCACCAGTCCTCCGGGACCTCTCCAGTGGCTAGCAAGGATACAAAGATCTTGGTCAAGACCCCAGCAATCTCCTCCCCTGCCTCTCTCAATAACCTGGGGTAGATACCATCAGGCCCTGGGGACTTATTCACCTTAATGCTCTTCGAGAGATCTAATACCACTTCCTTCTTGTTCTCAAAATGCCCTAGCATACTGGCATGCTCCACACTAATTTCACTATCCTCCATATCCTTCTCCTGGGTGAATACTGATGCAAAGTATTCATTTAGGATCTCGCCCACATCCTCTGCCTCCAAGCACAAGTTCCTTCCTTTATCCTTGAATAGTCCTACCTTCTTCTAGTTGTCCTCTTGTTTTTAATGTATGGATAGAATGCCTCAGGATTCTCTTTAACCCTACTTGCCAAGGTCATTTCATGACCCCTTCTTGCTCTCCTAACTCCATGCTCGAGTTCTTTCCGGCTTTATATTCCTCACGGGCCCTATCCAATTTTAGCTTCCTAAACCTTACATTTGCTTCTTCGTTCCTTTTGACTAAATTTACAACCTCCCTTGACATCCTTGCCCTTCCTCCTTACTGAAACTTGCCAGTCCTGAACCCTGATCAGTAGTCTTTAGACAACTCCCACATGTCAGATATAGACTTGCCCAATAACAGCTCCTTGCAATTAACACTCCCTAGCTCCTGCCTAATACTGAAGTAATTTGTCCTCCCCGCAAGGTCCTGGCTTATCCTTATCCATAGCCATCTTAAAACATAAGGAGTTGCGATCACTGTTTACAAAATGCTCTCCTACTGAAAGGTCAGTAACCTGGCCAGACTCATTAGCCAATACAAAGTCCAGTATAACCCCTCGTCTAGTTGGACTACTCACGTACTGTTTCAAGAAACCCTCTTCTTGCTTCTTGCTCTAAGGGAGTCCCAGTCAATATTAAGGAAGTTAAAGTCACCCTCCATTATAACTCTTTCCTTAATCTACCTACATATTTGTTCCTTGATGTCTTGGTGGCTGCTGGAGGTGGGGTGGGGTGGGGGGCACCGAATAGAAGTGATATCAAACTTCAGTGTTGTTAGAGCTGCATTCATCTACCTTCCCATCACGCTCCTGACTTATGCCTTACATATGGTGGACAGGTTTTGGGGAGCTAGTAAGTGAGTTACTCACTGCAATTTTCATAGCCTTTGACCTGCTCCTGCAGACACTACATTTATATGGCTAGTCCATTTCAGTTTCTGGTCAATACTAACCCCCAGGACATTGATAGTGGGGGATTCAGAAACAAAAAATACCACTGAATGTCAAATAAGTCAGTTAGATTCTCGCTTGTTGGAGGTGGTCATTGCCTGGTACTTGTGTGGCACAAATTTTACCCAGATCTGGCTGGATTTGAACAAGGACTCTTTTAGTATCTGAGGAGTTATGGATGGTGTTGAAAATTGAGCAATTATCAGCAAGCATTCCTACTTCTGACCTTATGATGTAGGGAAAGTCATTGATGAAGCAGTTGAAGATGGTTAGACCAAAGATAACTACCCCAGCCAAGGACACTATCCAGAGCCTGATAATCTACAGCCCAGCAAGTGACTTTGGAAATACTGGACAGATTCATGGTCATTTTCCAAACTACTATAAACACTGGTGAAATTCCAACAGACTGGAGGGTTACAAATGTAACCTCATTATTTAAAAAGAGAGGGAGAGAAAAAAAGACAAGTTACAGACCAGTTAGCCTAATATCAATAGTGGGGAAATGCCAAAAGACACTTGGAAAGCATTAAGAGGATTGGACAAAGCCAGCATGGCTTTATGAAAGGCAAATCACACTTAACAAATCTACTTTTTTTTTTAAAAAAGGTGTAATTAGTAGGTAAGGGAGAGCCAGTAGATGTAGTGCATTTGGATTTTAAGAAGGTTTTTGATAAGTTCCCAAATTAGGGGCGGAACGGTGGCTCAGTGGTTAGCACTGCTGCCTCAAGCGCCAGGAGCCTGGGTTCGACTCCACCCTCGGGAGTGAAGTTTGCGCATTCTCCCCATCTCTGCGTGGGTTTCCTCCAGGTGCTCCGGTTTCCTCCCACAGTCCAAAGATGTGTAGGCAAGGTGGATTGGCCATGCTAAATTGTCCATAGGAATCAGGAATGTGTGGAATAGGGGGATGGGTCTGGGTGGGATGCTCTGAAGGTTGGTGTGGACTTGTTGGGCTGAAGGGCCTGTTTCCACATAGTAGGAATTCTATGATTCTAAAGAATGGCACAGAGGATAATATATTTGCATGGATTAAGAATTGGTTGAAGGACAGGTAACAGAGTGGGAATGAATAGATCTTTTTCCGGGAGGCAGGGACTGCTGGGGCACTGCAAGGATCAGTGCTTCACCCGTAGCTCTTCAAAATATATCCATAAATAATCAGCATGAGAGAACCAAATGCGACATTTCTAAGTTTGTTGCAGCCGCAAAACTGGTGGGATTGTGAGCTGTGAAGAGGATGTACCAAGGCTTCAAAGTGGTTTATACAAGTTGAATGAGTAGGCAAACATGTGGCAGATGCAATACAACATGGCTAAATGTGAAGTTATACACTTTGCTGTGAAAATCAGAAAGACAGTATTATTTAAATGGTGATAAATTAGGAAATGAGGATGTACAAAGGGATCTGGGGTCCTTACACATAAGTCAAGTGCAGCAAGTACTTGGGAAGGTAACTGGTATGTTGGTCTTCATTACAAAAAGATTTGAGTTCAGAGGCAGGGATGTTTTAATGGTATTACTCTCTTAGTAGAGGATTGCATATAAAAGTTTTGGTCTTACTACCTAAAAAATGATATACCTGCTATACAGGGAGTGCAACAGAGGTTCACTAAGCTGATACCATGCATGGTACGATTTTTTATTCGGAGAGATTGTTTCACCTAGGCCTGTATTCACTAGAGTTTAGAAGAATGAGGAGGGATCTGATTGAAATGTACAAAATTCTAACACGGTTTGGCAGATTAGATGCAGGAAGGATATTTTCCCTCGTTGAGGAGTCTCAAACTAGGCATCACAGTCTCAGGATCAATACAGTGCCGAGCTGGAGGAACACAGCAGGTCAGCCAGCATCAGAGGAGAAGAAAGTCGACGTTTCAGGTCGGGACCTTCATCCTGACCTGAAACGTCAACTTTCCTGCTCCTCTGATGCAGCATGACCTGCTGTGTTCCTCTGGCTCCACTCTGTATTGACTCTGACTTCCCAGCATCTGCAGTTCTTGCTATCTCCTAATCACAGTCTCAGGATATGGGATAGGCCATTTAAGACCGAGATGAGCAACCTACTGAATTCTCTACCATAGAAGGCTGAGGAGGCCAAAGTACTGAATTCATTCAAGCAAGAGGTAGATAAATTGTTAATTATTAAAGATATCAAGGGATATGGGGAGAAAGCAGGGATGTTATTGAGAATCAGCCATGATCATACTGAATGATGGAGCAGGTGTGAAGGGCTGAATGGCCTCCTCCTGCTCACAGTTTCTGTTAACTCCCGCAGAGATGTTGTGGACCTCAGATGTCTAACCTTCAACAACTATCTTCTATTGTGCCAGACGTGACTTCAACCAACACAGAGAGGTTTCCCTCTTATTACCACGGACTCTAGTTTTGCTAGGGCTCCTCGATGCTACATTCAGTCCGATGTGGCCTTGATGTCAAGGACAGTCACTTTCACTCACTTCTGGAGTTCAGTTCCTTTGTCTATGTATAACAAAGGTGCATTTGAGGTTAGGAGCTGAGTGGTCCTGGCAGAACCCAAACTGAGTGCCACTGAGCAGGTTAACTCCAAACAAGTGGTGCTTGATAGCACGACTGATAGCTTGATAGCCCCTTCACTGATGATCAAAAGCAGCCTGATGAGGCAGTAGTTGGCTAGTTTGGTTTTGTTCTGTGTAGAAGCCATACCTGGACAACATTCAACATTATTGGGTAAATGCCTCTGTTATAGCTGGACTGAAGCAGCTTGGCTAGGCAAAGTTCTGGAGCACAAGTCTTCTGTACTGTTGCCAGAATGTTACTGAGGCCCATAGCCTTTGCAACACCAATGCCTGCAGCCATTTCCTGATATCACATGGACTGTATTGCATTAGTTAGTATCTATGATGCTAAGGACCTCTCCAGAGGAGGCTAAGATGGACAATCTATTCAGTGCCTCTGGCTGAAGATTGTTGAATGTTGCAGCCTTATCTTTTGCACTGACGTGCTATTCTCCACTGTTGTAGGACATAGGGATATTTGTGGATCCTCCTCCTCCAGTGGGTTGTTTTGTTATCCTCTACCACTCACGGCTGAATGTGGCACATCTGCAGAGCTCAAATCTGACTCGCTGGTTGTGAAATCACTTAACCCTATCTATTACTTGCTGCTTATCCTCATGCCTGGTGCTACTCCTGGCATGTCCTCTTGCGCTCTTCATCAAAAAAGGGTGGACGACATCATCTGATCGTAATGGCAGAGTTGGCAGCTATGCCAGGCCAAAGGCCAGCGAGTGTGTTTTAGCAAAATTCTGCTGCTGATGGCACACAGCATTTCATGGATGCCCAGTGTGAACTCCATTTAGCACAATGTAATGGAGGGTATCCATTATGTGAAGACAAGACTTAGAGCAGCACAGTAGCTCAGTGGTTAGCACTACTGCCTCACAGCAACACAGACCCGGATTCGATTCCAACCTCAGGCAACCCTCTGTGTGGAGTTTGCACATTCTTCCCGTGTCTGTATGGGGTTCCTCCTGGTGCTCCAGTTTCCTCCCACAGTCCAAAGACGTGCAGTTTAGATGGGTTAGCCACGTGAAACGCAGGGTCAAGGTGGGATCCTCTTTGAGGATCGGTGTGAACCCAATAGGCCGAGTAACCTGCTTCCACACTGTAGGGATTCTATGACTCTACGATTCATCTCCACAAGATCATCCCTCTTGTTGGTTCCTTCACCACCTTGCCACAGGTATCATGTGCAAAAGCTGCAGTGAGCATCCACAGAGAAGAGACACAATATTGAAACGGGGTACTGCAGTGGGAAGTGAGAATGCAAGACGCCTAGAGGAAATTGGCCCAGATGGGAGGAGGGAGGAGAGAGGGGAAGAGAAAGAGAAGGCAGGATGACGTAGAGGACCTGCAATTGTGCACATGCATGTTTCCAGATCAACACACATGCGCAGTTGCCCACATTTGCCCAGGTCAGCAGAAATTGGCCATTTTTAATAGGAGTATAATTAAGTTGTGGAATATGTAACAAGGAAAGGCCAATAAGAGTTTTACCACAAGACAACGATCAGTCTCTTGAAATAAAAGTGATTCACGTTTATGGTGAGAAGTCACTAAAGTTCATCTGTCTAAAAGGGCAGAATTTTGGAATTATCTATTAATCAAAGATATTTCCGCTAATATTAAAATAAAGTTTTCAGCAATATAAACTTCTTTGTTGGGTATACATGAGGAGCTATATCATTACCTTGCTCCTGCGACTAATCCTGCTGGCATGAATTTTCCTGAATTGTAGAATCTCATTCCCATTATTCCAGTCAGTGCTCCTGAAGCAACTTTAAAGTACAAAGACACAAACATTACTCAGCAGAAAGTTTAACATCAGTGTAGATAAGATTTGAAAAGCAATGATCAGAGGGAAAAAAAAAATCAACAAGTATTTGGAAAGATTTTAGTTAATTAAAGAAGAGCAGCACAGATTTATAAAAGGCACACCATGCTTGATTAATTTAACTGAATTACCTAGACAAAGTTTTACAGGAATAAATTCTTTGAAGAATAGGCAGGAATGTGCAGTTAAAGCCACAATCAAATCAGTCTTGATCTTAACAAATAGTGGAGTAGGCTTGAGGGCCAAATGACCTATTCTTACTCATAATTCTTGTGTGGCATTCTAAAATTAGTTGTGGATGATCAGAGATTGCATTGTATTGCAGCTAATGGTCTCAATCTTATAACTGCAACCTGTTCACACTGCCTGACTGAAACCCCCATTGTTTCCCAGAAGCAAGCTCTCATCATTTCTCATGGGTTTAGTTAATGCACAGCAGTAGTAAATGCTTGCATTGCCAATGTATTATATGCAAGTGTTGCATGCACTATCCCACTTTTGTGCTAAGTTGCATTGAATTAAATCTGAACCTTGAGTCAAGAGGTTTTTGAGCTCATATTCCAGCATATCTTTGGAAAAATAAGATCCATTATTTCATCCAGTGATCCAGTTTGCACATTCTCCCTGTGAATGTGGTTTTCCTCCTGATGCTCAAGTTTCTTGCCACAGTCCAAAGATATGCAGGTAAGGTAGATTAGCCATGCTCAAATTGTCCATAATGTTCCAGCTGAACTAGCCATGGGAAATGCAGGGTTACAGGAATAGGGTGGAGGGTTGTGACAGTCTGAGTGGGATGCTCTTCGGAAGGTTGGTGTGGACTTGATGGGCCAAATGGCCTGCTTCCACACTGTAGAGATTCTATGATTCGAAGTAAGAAGCCTGATGTAGAGAAAGCAATAAGTGTTCTCTATGTGGATTTTAAGATAATATTTGGCAAAGCACCATATGAAACACTGGTTAACAATGGGGACTTATGAAACAGAAGGTCAGTGCCACTTCTGAAGAGTCACTGGATCCAAAATGTTAACTCTGCTTTCTCTCTACAGATGCTGAAATACCTGCTGAATTTTTCCAGCAATTTCTGTTTGTGTTTCTGATTTCCAACATCCTCAGTTCATTGTTTTTTTTTTATGTTCAGTGCCAGGTTGGATAAATAGAGAAGTCTTAAAACCAGAAAACAGCAAGTCATGGTAAACGAAAACCGAAAGAACTGCGGATGCTGTAAATCAGGAACAAAAACAAAGTTGCTGGAAAAGCTCAGCAGGTCTGGCAGCATCTGTGAAGGAAAAAACAGAGTTAACGTTTCGGGTCCAGTGACCCTTCCTCAGAACTGAGGAAAGGTCACCGGACTCGAAATGTTAACTCTGTTTTTTCCTTCACAGATGCTGCCAAGTCATGGTAAATGGTTATTTTTCAGACTGATTGATGGTAAACAATGGTGTTTGTTGCGAAGTTGGATACAGTACTCTGACAAGGGAATCACTGGTTCTCACAGACTCCTCTATGTCTTAGAGAAAGCACCATCTAAATAACCATGCTACCCATGGCACAACTAGTTAACCTTCCTGACAGAAGAATTGATGGAGAAGGCACAGAACATTCCGAAAGACACATAACCTGTTTGTAATTTCAAGGGACTAAATTCTACTTTTTTTTTTTAAGAACGTGGGACTTATATTTATTGAAACATCATACGATTAGAATCTTGTTTTATTTGGGAATAGTTAGTAGTTAGAAGGAATTTATTCTGCTTCTTTATAGTTTAACTAATTTGTTCAGGGTTAGAATTAGACAAATAAATTGTTACTTGTTGATTGTAAAGTGAGAGTCAGGGATTTATTTTATTTAACCACTAGAGGTTGCTGAAAGGCAGGTTATGCCACTTTTCACATTCCTTTTTACAGATAATAGGCCGAGGTGCTCCTCTTTGGATGTTTTGGTTTTGCTTCTCAGAGGAGGGTCAACCTCTGCTTTATAACATGTTCTCAGAAATTTGTGCTAGAATCACTGCTACTTTGACGTATGTGCATAGTTAAAATATTTGTAGTACAGACGTTTAAATTTTTAAAATTTTCCAAAGATATCAGACAGGGAGGTGTATATAGACTTAATGACACAGTTCTATAGATTGTGCATGAATAGAGACCTGGGGTGTATATGCAACATTCTTTGAAGGTGGTAAAGTATATTCAGAGTGGTGAAAAAAGCAGAAGGGCTTAAAGAGTAGATATACTGCATACAAAAAGCAGGGAAGTCCGGCTGAACTTCTATAAAGCTCTGGCTAACCCACAACTAGAGTATTGCATCCAATTCGGTTTTATTCATTAACGGGATGTGGGCATCGCTGGCTAGGCAGCATTTATTGCCCATCCCTAATTGCCCAGAGAGCAGTTCAGAGTCAACCACATTGCTGTGGGTCTGGAGTCACATGTAGGCCAGATCAGGTAAGGATGGCAGTTTCCTTCCCTAAAGGACATTAGTGAACCAGATGGGTTTTTCCTGACAATCGACAACGCATTCATGGTCATCACTGAGTGGCTCAGTGGTTAGCACTGCTGCCTCACAGCACCAGGGACCCGGGTTTGATTCCACCCTCAGGCTGTGTGGAGTTTGCATGTTCTCCCCGTGTCAGCGTGGGTTTGCTCCGGTTTCCTTCCACAGTCCAAAGATGTGCAGGCTAGGTGGATTGGCCATGCTAAATTGCCCACAGTGTTCAGGGATGTGTAGATTAGGTGGGTTATGAGGGATGAGTCTGGGTGGGATGCGCTTGTTGGGCCGAAGGGCCTGTTTCCACACTGTAGGGATTCTATGATTAGATTCTTAATTCCAGATATTTTTATTGAATTCAAATTCCACCATCTGCCATGGTGGGATTCGAGCCCAGGTCCCTGGAACATTATCTGGGTCTCTGGATTAACAGTCCAGTGACAATACCACGAGGCCATTGCCTCCTCGAGGCACAGATTGGATCGGATTGCACAGAACTCTGTACTTAAGCCTCTCTTTTTCAAATTATTCAGTTCAGTTTTTTTATATAATTTTTTGAGAGACATAGATTTTGCTGGCTATAGTCCAGTCTTAATTGCCTTTGAGAATTTCGTGATCAACTATCTTCCTTAACACCAGCACTGCAAATTGCACTGGTACACTGACAGTGATGTCAGGAAAGGAGTTCCAGGGTTTTGATCCAGTGAGAGTGGAGGAACAGTGGTATACTTCCAAATTAGGATGGTTTGTGGTGTTATAAAGTGGAGGTCGACCCCCCACCCCACTTTGATAACTAAAACCGGAACACCCAGAGAGGCCACCTCACCCTATAATCTGTTAAAAGAGTTCCCAATCTGTTATAAAGGAGTGGTTAAATAAAAATAAACCCCTGACACTCTCTTTATAAATCAACAAGTAACAATTTATTTATCTAACTCTAACAATGAACAGACTAACTAAACTATTAAAAAACTGAATAAATCCCTTCTAACTACTAACTATTCCCGAATAAAACACGATTATAATGGTATGCTGTTCCAATAAATATAAGTCCCACTTATATAAAATTAAAAAAATAGAATTTAGTTTCTTGATTACGTCTTCTAGAATGTTCTGTGTCTTCTCTGACGAATTCTCCTGTCAGGAACGCCTTCTCTGTTGAATTCTTTTGTCAGGAACATTAACTATTTGTGCCGTAGGTACCTTTAATACGGATGGAGCTTACTCTAAGGCTTAGAGAATTCTGAGAGAGCTAGTTATTCTTTCTTTTAGAGTCGAGTGTGGCTCTTTTGGCAGATGACAGTTGGCTCTCCCCCGATTTTCCAAACGCTGTCATTTTTTATACCATTGATGACCTATTAATTTCTTACAACAGGATTGGTCCTATGTTGACAAAACCATCAGATTTAAATTTAACTGGTTTTTGGCAGCTAAAGGCCTGGTTTAAATTAATTAGCTAAATTGAAAAACCTGTTGTCTTGGTAAAAATGGCTGCTCTTCCTGCTAACAGCGTAGCCTTTTGATACAGATGTTTCAATTCAGATGCTTTGTGCACCTGAAAACCCACAGACATCCTTTTTGAATCTCTAAGCATAGAAAAAGCACAGCTTTTAAAGGGACCACACACTGCTTTCCCCATAGCAGTTTATAAACACCAGCAGTTTACAAATACCAAATTCTAACATCCTGCCTTCCAATCCACAAGTACTCTACTGAACATCGCAACAGTGGCTTGGGGGTAAATCTGCAGTAGTGTTCTGTTTTCATGCATCTGTTGCCCTTGTCATTTTAGGCAGTTTAGGTGGCAAGTTTGGACATTGTTGTTGAAGGAGCCTTGTTGATGCAATGTTCATCGGTGCTGCTGTTCCTACCTGTAAGCCAGAAAGTCCAGGCTCAAGCGTAACCTTCCTCAGAAATGAACAGGTTGATTAAAAATATCCACAAAGTTACAGCTGCAATACTGACACTGTAGGATTTAGTAAAGGAAACTTGGCAAAGTGAAAATTTCCACATACTGCAATTTTTAACTTTTTGGATTTCTTATATTTTTTAAATTCTTAAATATGAAGTTTATATCTATTTTGTCGTTAATTTCCATGAATCTCAAGTTGCTGAAACTAACATGTCTAATTTAAGATCTATCCACCAATGAGAAAACAGAAATAAAAACAGGCTTTTCCAAATTCCAGGTCTGCCAAATTAAAACGAAACAAGTCAAGCAGTAAGACCCTATGAATGTAGGTTGTACATTCTTGGTTTGCACCAACATTTCATGGGGCATTGATACACATCTCAATGCACAAAGATCTGGCCACCTTGCTGTGGAACACTCCTGTAGTTGGACCATACTATATCACCTTCTCCTTTCAGAAAGAAGGTTTATGCAGAGAAACACTTCAACCACATGTCCATCAGGCAGTGATCAGCACATAACATCCCTGAACTCCTGTAGGAAAAGGACAGATTTAATTCTGTTGGATGACTCCCTAGACAGTCTGTCAGAAGCATGAGGCATGAATAACTTATCACCAGAACTTTCTAACAAGCATCAAGGCATGGCTTGAGTCATAGTCATAATGTTATAGAGATCTAAAGCACAGAGAAAGGCCCTTTGGCCCATCACATCTGTGCCAGTCAAAAACAACTACCTAACTATTCTAATCCTATCTTCCAACATTTGGTCCATAGCCTTGAATCACAATTGCATACGTTAATATGTCTGAAAATGTTAAGAGGGATTTTGCCTTCACCACCCTTAAAGGCAGTGAGCTCCAAGTTCCCACCACGCCCCGGATGAAGACATTTTTCCTTACATCTCAGAATCCCTACAGTGTGGAAACAGGCCCTTTGGCCCAACAAGTCCACCCTGACCCACACAGCATCCCAGCCAGACCCATCCCACATAACCCATCTAATCTACACATCCCTGAATACTACAGGCAATTTAGCATGGCCAATCCACCTAGCCTGCACATCTTTGGACTGTGGGAGGAAACTGGAGCACCCGTAGGAAACCCACGCTGACAGGGGGAGAACGTGCAAGCTCCACAAAGATAGTCGCCCTGGGTCCCTGGCGCTATGAGACAGCAGTGCTAACCACTGTGCCACCGTGCCGCCCTAAACTTCTGCCCCTTACTTTAAAGCTAGGCCTCCTTGTCAATGATCCTTCAATCAAGGGGAAAAGTTTCTGAAGAAGGGTCACTAGACTCGAAATGTTAACCCTGCTTTCTCTTCACAGACCTGCTGAGTTTTCCCAACAATTCCTTTTGTTATTTCTGATTTCCAGCATCCACAGATTTTCTTTCTATTTTTGGTAACATTTTCTTCTTGTCTACACTAGCTATGCCCCTCTCAATTTTATACATCTGAATCATGTCCCCTCTCAATCTCCTCTGCTTTAAGAAAATCAACCCAGTCTGTCCAATTTCTCTTCATAAAACACTCACCAGCCCAGGCAACATCCTGGTAAATCTCCTCTGCATCCTCTCCAGTGCTATCACATCCCTGCTATAATGCAGATTCCAGAACTGCACACAATATTTTAGCTGCGGCCTAACCAATGTTTTATACAGTTCCAGCATTAACTCCCTGCTCCTAAAGTCCATGCCTTAGCTAGTAGAGGCAAGTATACCATATGTCTTCTTAACCACTTTATCCTCCTTACCTAACTTAAGGGACTGATGCACAATCCCTCTGATCCTCAGTGCTTCTCAGGGTCCTACCATTCATAATGTATTCCCTTACCAGTTACATCAAATTAGTGAAAGACGCTCTTTGGTCTGCCTGAAATCTGTTGGCCTTTCAGTGCAAAGAGTTGTCCTCGACTGCGTGTTGCATACATGTGCATTCCAAGGTCCGGGACTACATGCTGAGGGATGCACTAAAGCTTGCAGCTGCTGCCACCAAAATGCTGTGGAGAAGGTCAGTGTCTAAATTCTTTTTGGCATGCTGTACCAAGGGGCTGTCCACTTATTGGACCCGTTGGGTTGTGTACTTAAATATATATGTATAGTTCTTGTCAAATTCTGTAGCTGTTCCAATTTTGCATTTGGAATGAGGTACTAAGAGTATAAATGCTCAATTGCAAAATGTGATATTTTATTACATTTTCTGTTACATCCAATTTGAACTGAGTTATAACCCACTTATAGATATTTTACAAATAAAGTACATTTTTGCAAAAAATACTGCACAAAGACAGAAGCAAGTTATTCTTTTAAACTTGCATATTATAGCTGCACACACCATCCCTACAAAACAGTAGAAAGGACAACAAACAATATACAAACAAACTCATTAGAAATGTGATCAGATTACTCACTTAAAGACAACCATATGTTCTTGGGGTCTTGAGTAATCTGATAAGCACCAAACCCAGCTGCACTCCCAAATAGTAGGCCAGCTGCTAGAGAAGGCACACTACCTGAATGCAAAAGGAACTTGTATTAATCATAAGCAATCATCAAGGAAATGGAAGAATTCTCTGCAAAACATTATAGCTTGTGCTATAAAACAATGGTAAATGTGTTTCCAAAAAATCCGTACTTCGGAAGTACTTTGGTATACCTTGAAAAGGTGCACAATGAAAATGCAAATGCTTTTATTTATTTTTTAAGTAAGGCTAACAGAGAAGTTGAAACGCAACAACTCAATTTCTTTGATGTTTATTTCACAGCCTCATTGAACCATGCCACAAAATAAAAGTCAATGATGAGAGTAATGCCTCCCTGTAATCTCAGGCCACCAGCAATCCTATGAACTTGCTGATCCCATCACAGTTCTACAGCAGCAGCTGTACCAATGGGATAGGACACATGTCCTGCTGGTAAGGGTAAACAGGCAAAGGCTGTAAACTCGTAAACGGATGGAGAAAGGGGAAGGATCTACAAAAATGAAAGCAGCCTAGATGTAAATCAAATAAGGTAGGAGAATGTAGAAACGTATACAGTAAAAGACATACATACGAATTAGGATCAGGAGTAGCCACTTGAGCCTGCTCTGCTATTTAGTAATGTTCTGCATGTAGTCTCACATCCACATTCCTACCTACCACCAATGACATTCAACTCCTTTGTTAATCAAAGTGAGTGAATGGGGAGGGGGGGTGGGGAAGAGATGGTACATGCAGCCAGGTGAACCAGGTGGGGAGCGACGTTGGAGTGGAAGGCGAGAGTCCATGTTGCCAGGTATGTGGAGGGGAAGACAAGGCTCTCACCGTCCATTGCAGGCATTGGCCCCTTAAAGACTGCAGTTCCGATGGTGAAATAGCCACCGAGTCCAAGGGGCACAAGTGAATGTGAAAGTCTGCTAGCATGTGCATGAGGGTGAGAGAGAAACACTGTATGTGTGAGAGTGAAATGGAGAGTTTGAGAGCCAAAAGAACTGTGGATGCTGTAACTCAGAAACAAAAGACAGAAGTTGGTGGAAAAACTCAGCAGGTCTGGCAGCATGTGCAAAGAGAAATCAGAGTTAACCTTTTGGATCCAGTGACCCTTCCTCAGAACTGATAGTAGCTAGGAAAATGTCGGTTTATATGCAGAAGGTGGGGGGAGTAAGAAGCAAACAATAGGTGGGGATAAAGCCCAAAAAGACAGGAGAACAGTTGGACAGACAAAGAAGTGGATAACGATCTGTCTAGGAGGGTGAATAGCTGTAATGGAGACTGTTAATGGTGGACAATAAGTCGTGTGTAATGGCACGCTATGTAGTAACAAGGCCTGGTGTGTAGGGTTGGGGGCTAGGTCATGGGAGAGCTCAGGCCCAAAAATTACTGAACTCGATATTGTGTCTGGAGGGCTGCAAGTTCACCAAGCAGAAAATGATGTGTTGTTCTCCCAGCATGCTGTTCTCCCAAATTTCGTCAGAGAGATGAGCATAACTTCTCTTCAAGGTGGGCATGTCTAGAAGGGTTTTGTTGGAAAGTTTCAGAGTGTTTGAGAAGGGGATAAGCATTCAAGAGGGAGTGAGAAACAGGTAGGCTGTACGCATGAGGCAGCGAGAGACAGACACACACACAGAGGGGGAGAGAGGGGGAGAGAGGGGGGGAGAGAGAGAGAGAGAGAGAGAGAGAGAGAGAGAGAGAGAGAGAGAGAGAGAGAGAGAGAGAGAGAGAGAGAAAGAGAGAGGGGGGGGCAGGTAGGACTTGGAGAGACAGAGGAGGAATAAACGTACGGGGAAGAGGATAGAGCAAGAAGGGGTAAGCACCTGTGTGTGAAGGAGTGAGGGTAATTAGGAGTGAACAAGCAAGAAAGTGACTGTGAACCCCAAAACTGGCAATGAGTTGGACACTCACATACACTCTAACCTCTTCCTATTCTGTCCCCCAAAGCCACACTTTTGGCTGGAACAGAAGTAACATCATTCGCTTCTATCCCACACTCTTGTATGAGTACCAAGGCCAGCTTGGAGTGTACACCAGCGAAGACAAGGTCAATGTGAAGTAAACTCAGTTCCTCAGTCGACCTTGATTCCCTTTACTGGCAACCCGACTTGGGGCTTAGTCTGTCTCTGTCTTTCATTCACTCATTCTTCTTTTTAAGCAAAAAGGCAAACATGGTTTTATTAGTTAGCTCTAGTATTTAGCACTTTTACACAGTCTTCTTTACTAGTTATTCATTTTTAAAAGAAAAATCAATTTATTGCTTTCAGGTTTTTTTGCTGAGTCAACTGTTTGTTTGCTTCATACCACTACTTCTCTTCTGAAATCCATGTTTAATTTTGTGCCAAACCTTAGATTTCCAAAATTTGGCCATCAACCCTTTGAGTGAGAAAAAAAATGAAATGTGGTCCCTCACACAGAAGTTCAACCAACTATAGAAAGAATCTCCAAAATGAAACCTATCTTTGAGAAAACAAATCTTGCACATTGTGTGAAACCGAACCAGCTTGAAATAAACATTGACAATCAAGTATATGGCTTGCTTACCATATTGATTTATTTCCTTTTAGTTATTGTTACCAATCACACGTAACTGGGATTGAAGAAACAGACATCTATTTGTTATCTAGGTACATCTGTCTCAGCTCTGTTATCTTCAGTTTAACAATTCACTGATAATGCGCAACATTGCAAATTCTTATGCTGTGATGAGTAATTACAGTTCTGAAATCAATGGATAACAAAGTAACATTTACACACACTCTTGTAAAATCTCTTCCTAGAAATCTAAAAAGCTGCTCTTAAACGATTGCTGCAAAAAGAAAAGCACAAGAATTTGTTCAACTTTCAAAGTGCTCATGTTTGGATCTCAAACCTTACTTTGCAGTAACCATTCTCGTAGTATATATGCTACAGAATATAACCAAAAATAGGTTGCATTTACAAGTTACTAATCCTGTACAAACTATATAGCTCCACAATTTTGTTAAAGTTTAATGTACAACCTATAGATTTGAAGTTTAAGAAACAATTTTAAGTAACTTTTTGCACAAAGTGTTTTGAATGTAAACATTAAAGTTTCTTTGAAGTGTGGATCTTGGTAATAGAGCTTAAAATGTGCCAACTTCTCATTAGAAGATAAAAAGTAAAAAAAAATACTGCTGGGGTGAAGTAATATTCAATGAGTCCACATTCTAAAAAGGTTTTACCACCGTTAATGAAAGTAAAGGGGTTGATTTGTGCTAACAGGACACATTTTGAATTTTCTGCAAGAACACAGGGTGGATGTCAAAGACAACCCTAGGACTGAATCACAGGCACCAACAGTCTTTCTATTATATCAATGGCTGCCTGTGGTTTTATTTTAATTGAAAAAATGGTGGAAAAAAATTGTAGCTGCTGCATTATTTCATACAACTCAAACCACAGCCTTCACAGACAACAAAATGCCTCTGAGGCTTAGTTAAATGGGGACCCTGATAAGCAGCTCAGATGAAAATCATCAGAGTTGAAATTTCCAACTTTTATAGGAAATAGAAAGGGAAAACTCGATCCACCTTAGATGAGGCCTTTTAAATAATCATAATTACATATTAGACACACACATGCAAAGATAGTAGTTTAATGTATTAAACACTGGAAAATTTTAATTAGATTTCTTTAGGCGATTCGTTTCGATAAACTTGAAGAAACTTTTTCTCTGTCAACAGGAAGATCTGAACAACAAGGTATAAACAAGACAACCTTGTAAGAGTATCATGAGACAAATAACATAGCAAGGCAGGGGAAGAAACAATTTTGAAACAGGGTCACTATGACCTCGAGAGAATAAATAATCACCACTTCGCAAGTCGGTAAGAGGGAAGCTGCACTCGAAATTGTTAGCTTTGTTACAGAATTAGGTGTAACTATGAATAACTTTACAAGTAACTTTAGGTTGGAGCTGATATTACAAACATTTTAACAATTGGTAGAAATTAACATCATTTCTAATCGTCTGTACTAAGGTCAGCAAGGAATATGAATTGCATAACTGAATTTGAAAAATCATTTGTTTTGTTAAAAGCAAGTATACAATGTAGCTGGCAAATGTCTAGGAAGGGCCATAACAATCGATGTTAGAATATGGTCAATAAGGTGTATTGTAAGAACTCAGAGACAGATGATGGGGTTCTGGCAAACATCACAAGGTGTTGGGAGGACCTAAGGTTGACCATGAACTTGTCCATTGTTGTGTATTCACAGGATTGGAACACTGTGTAGGTCAGAGGGGATGTGGCAAGCACTGATGTCAATGTTGCATGTAACCATTGTAATGTGCTATGTACAAATATTCTGTACTTTATTGGGAAAGGTAGAATGACCTAGAGGCTCTTCCTCTCCACATGGTAGGGAGCTCTGAAAATAGATTGATTTGTGTGACTGAACATGGGACTTAAAGACTCTTCTTTAAAATCCCTCTCTATCAAGGAGTATTACAGATATGGACTATTGCATTCAGTAGAAGGATATTGTTAAACTTGAAAGGGCTCAGAGAAGATCTATGAGGACGTTGCCAATGTTGGAGGGTTTGAGCTATAGGGACTGGCTGAATAGGCTGGGGCTACATTCCCTGGGGTGTTGGAGGCTGAGGAGTGACCTTATAGAGGTTTATAAAATCATAAGGGGCATGGATAGGGTAAAAAGGCAAGGTCTTTTCTGAGGGATGGGAGAGTCTAAAACTAGAGGGATTAGGTTTAACGTGACAGGGGAAAGATATAAGAGGGATTTAAGGGGTAACTTTTTCAAACAGAGGGTGGTGCATGTATGGAATGGGTTGCCAGAGGAAGTGGTGGACGCTGCTACAATTACTAGATTTAAAAGGCATCTGGCTGAATAGGAAGGGTTGAGAGAGATATGGGCCAAATGATGGCAAATGGGACTAGATTTATATAGGATATCCGGTCAGCATGGACGAGTTGGACCAAAGGGTCTGTTTCTGTGCTGTATACTCTGAGTTAAAGCAGATGAGTTTAAAGCCTGAATTAGTACAATGAACTATGATG